CCCCCCCCCCCCCATCACTTTTCTAATGGTCCGTCCCTAAATAAGACTGGATTAACTCTCCGGTATTTTAAATTGTCAGACATTATAAGACAGAATGTATTGTATCAGGACATTGTTGGCACATTGGGATGCATTGCAGCTTAATGGGTTATCATGTGATATGGACAGATAACCCCTTGACGAGTAAAACTATTTGGCATTCATAATTTATACCCGGGAGTTGGTACCGAAGAGACTTGGGTCAGATATGGGTTGGGTAATCAGGTTTTTGACTAGCTCATGGGTTGGGTAAAAACATTTATGGCTGTCTGTCTGCTATAAAATAAAACCAAAATTACCATGCATTGGAAAATATGAAGAAAAATGTGTACAATACATTCTGTACCAAAATAGACCATCAGTGATTCAGGAAGGACTCTATCATTGATCAGCAGGAACGTGATTGCTTTGGCACACTCACAAAGTGAGTTTGAGCCGAGTGAGCTTTTAAAATTTAGGCAACTTGATTTCTGTCACCATAATCTTGTGTGTTTAAGTATTAAGTACAGTAACACATGAGTTGGGTAAACATTATTTTGACCAATGTTGAGGTTGAGTAAATAAAAAATTTACAGTGTTTTTCGCTTCTCTTCGATACCAACCCCAGTAAAATAATAAAGTAGGGTGCATTGCAGCTTAATAGATTAACCATAGATATGAGATTGACCCATAGATGCCCAGAATCTTTCCAAACTAACTTGTAAGACACATCCTTATAACACTCCAAATTCATTTCCACATAGATCCTTACATGAAAATCTGTTTGATTCAAGACGGCAAGCAAGGCAAGAAGAAAAAGACCACGGTGAAAAAACGAACATTAAATCCATACTACAATGAGACTTTTACATTCAATGTTCCGTTCGAGAAAATTGAAACCACGTCACTTATGGTAGCAGTTTTAGATTTTGACCGAATGTCAAAAAGTGAGCTCATCGGAAAGACGATCATCGGTGCACTAGCATCGGGAGGGCCAGAGTTACGACATTGGCAGGACATGCTGGCATCGCCCAGAAAGCCTGTGGCTCAATGGCATGCTTTGAGTTAGTTTTCTATATCTCAGTTTTAAATGTGATGTAAAAATTTACGGTAAATATATGTATATATGTATAAGCATACAGTCTAGATCAATATTAAGGAATACAGTTTAAAACCAATAGAGCTATCCAGTATAAATGAACTTAATTTAGTTTAGGTTTCCTCCTGTAGTAACACTGAATCAATAAGAGATGATCCTTACTGGACCTCTAGGAAGAACAGTTTAGAACTGATAGAACTATCCAGTATAAATAAGTTAGTTTAGTTTAGGTTTCCTCCTGTAGTAACACTGGACCAATAAGAGATGATCCTTACTGGACCTCTAGGAAGAACAGTTTAGAACTGATAGAGCTATCCAGAATAAATAAAGTTAGTTTAGTTTAGGTTTCCTCCTGTAGTAACACTGGATCAATAAGAGATGATCCTTACTGGACCTCTAGGAATACAATTTAGAACTGATAGAGCTATCCAGTATAAATAAAGTTAATTTAGTTTAGGTTTCTTCGTGTATTAACACTGGACCAACAAGAAATGAACTTTAGTGGACCTCTACGAAGAACAGCTTAGAACTACTAGAGCTATCCAGTATAAATAAAGTTAGTTTAGTTTGGAAACATCGACATACAGCAGTTTATCATTTAGTATAGTATTTGAAACAAACAAGAGTTCTATAAATCATATTTCACTTTCACTATACGTGCAAATATTTCAACATTTAGAGTTTGACAAATTTTCAAAAAAGAACAATAAATAAAACCACTGCTTGGCAACAATGTTCTTTCTTTAAATCTTCAATCATCTTCCTCTGGTGGTAATTCAATTGGTCCTAGAGCATGATGATGACCCTAGAGAAAGGCAAAATTTGAAATTGTACTGCATCGGTACCAAAACCGCATCGGTACCTGAACTGGACCAGAAAGCATGCTGATTTCTTTTCCATTCTCAGGCTAAAGGCCCATTGCCACTCAAGAAAAATTTCTACGGACAGAAAATTTTCCCAAAATATCATTGTTAAAAAGTTGAAAATTTTCAACTTCAAAATTTTTTTCCGACGGAAAATTTGTGCCGGCCAACTGGTACTTTTCTTCAGAAAGAGGTACCAATTTCCCGTGCGTAATACAAAATGACTGAAAAACGGCAAATTTCGCAGGGCTATATTATCCGCATTTTACAACATTTCGCAACGAAACTTCGGAATATTACTAATTTTGTGATGCTCTTTCAAGCCGTGATGAAATTTTTGTCTATACTTGTCTAGATCAAAATTTTGTTCATTAGGTAATAGGTCCATTCAGAAGCGTACAGACTGGTCTGAGAAAGTTTTCAACCAAGTCATATTACATTATTCGCTTAACCAATTAACTAACTTATTTCCACAATAAGGAAGAATTCCAATACTTACTATGATGTCGTGATAGTCGTGTTTCAATCTCCAGAGCACCCAGAACCAGAGAAGACCTCCTAAACCTTTGGACCACAACACATGAGCCCGTCTGGGGGCATGAAACATCTGCGTGGAAACCATCGATCACAAATGCTACAATAAAATTGAATATTTAATATTTTACAAAGAGCAAAGCCGGTACGACAAAAAGTCACCAGTTAATACCAATGCTGTTCCAACAACTTGTCAACAAGTTATATCCTCAACAGGTTTGTAGCAAGCTTGTTAACACGTTGTGACAATGCTGTTCCAACAACTTGTCAACAAGATGTCTCCTCAACAGGCTTGTAGCAAGTTTGTTAACAAGTTGTGACAATGCTGTTCCAACAACTTATCAACAAAATGACTCCTCAACAGGCTTGTAGCAAACTTGTTAACAAATTGTGACAATGCTGTTCCAACAACTTGTCAACAAGATTTATCCTCAACAGGTTTGTAGTAAGCTTGTTAACAAGTTGTGACAATGCTGTTCCAACAACTTGCTAATTATCACTTATTTACTGAGACCGAGGGAAACAGTGTGTTTTGTGGACCCGAGAACGTCGATGTTTCCCGAGGCGAAGCCGAGGGAAACATCGACGGTCGAGGGTCCACAAAACACACTGCTTTCCCGAGGTCTCAGTAAATAAGTGTTTTATTATATATCAATAGTCAAAGAAACAACAAATTAAAGAACAAATGAACGTAAATACATGAAATATTTTATTGTTAAAACGTTATATTAAACACTGGCTACACTGCAGTTACTTAAAGCGAAAGTTTTAATTACGTACTAGGCATGTCCAAAGGTCGCATCTTCACGTGATGGGGCACGTGATTTTTTTTGTTATTCGCCGGTCGATAACGTATTATCTCCCTCTCGCGCTGTTGCGAGGGAGACAGCCTAATTTCGTCACTCTCACGTGATATGCTCTCAACCAATAAAACACTAGGAAAATGCGACTTTGACTATTGATATATAATAATAACTTTTATCCTCAACAGGCTTGTAGCAAGCTTGTTAACAAGTTGTGACAATGCTGTTCCAACAACTTCTCAACAAGATTTATCCTCAACAGGCTTGTAGCAAGCTTGTTAACAAGTTATGACAATGCTGTTCCAACAACTTGTCAACAAGATTTATCCTGAACAGGCTTGTAGCAAGCTTGTTAACAAGTTGTGACAATGCTGTTCCAACAACTTGCTAATAAGATTTATCCTCAACAGGCTTGTAGCAAGCTTGTTAACAAGTTGTGACAATGCTGTTCCAACAACTTGTCAACAAGATTTATCCTCAACAGGCTTGTAGCAAGCTTGTTAACAAGTTGTGACAATGCTGTTCCAACAACTTGTCAACAAGATTTATCCTCAACAGGCTTGTAGCAAGCTTGTTAACAAGTTGTGACAATGCTGTTCCAACAACTTCTCAACAAGATATTTCGTCAACGGGCTTGTAGCAACCTTGTTAACAAGTTGTGACAATGCTGTTCCAACAACTTGTCAACAAGATATTTCGTCAACGGGCTTGTAGCAAGCTTGTTAGCAAGTTGTGACAATGCTGTTCCAACAACTTGTCAACAAGATATTTCCTCAACGGCCTTGTAGCAAGCTTGTTAACAAGTTGTGACAATGCTGTTCCAACAATTTGTCAACAAGATTTATCCTCAACAGGCTTGTAGCAAGCTTGTTAACAAGTTGTGACAATGCTGTTCCAACGACTTGTCAACAAGATGTTATTTGCAATAGGTTTGTATCAAGCTTTTTAACAAGTTATGACAATGCTGTTCCAACAACTTAATTGTCAACAAGATTTATCCTCAACAGGCTTGTAGCAAGCTTGTTAACAAGTTATGACAATGCTGTTCCAATAACTTGTCAACAAGATTTATACTCAAGACCTCAACAGGCTTGTAGCAAGCTTGTTAACAAGTTGTGACAATGCTGTTCCAACAACTTCTCAACAAGATATGT